AGAAAACCCCACACACAGAAACAAGCAGCATACAGCTTTTTAAAATTCTGTGTCCACACCTCTTTCCCCAATGACATCAGCTGGAGGCTCCCCACCTGCCCAGTTGCCATAGCAGTTACACAAAGACACACAATGACATCAGTTGGCATGATATCAGCTCTTTGAGTGCAAACAATACAAGAAGAACTACTTTGTTCAGGCCTTTGGTACAACTGTGTTCTCAGAAGGCAATGATGTAATGCCAACAGGTGGCATGAGACTTCCATTTGCCTAATGGCGGGGGGGCACCCTCTGGGGAAAGCGGGGTGAGAAGCTGAGACAGACAGACACAGAATACTCCGAGTCACAGGAGGGGCTCACATGCAAAGTCCTGTGTCTATTGTACGTGTAAGCCATGCGGGGACCCGGCTCACGGCATCTTTGGAGACAGAGTGAATAGAAAAGGAAATATTGTAATTCGCACATATGAGCTGGACAAGAAAATTCTCAGTAAAGGGTGTGAAGACACAGTCTCCTGCTCAACGGCCGGTCGGCTGGGCTGCTTCGGCAGGAATTGTCAGGAAGGGCTATGCCTGTCTGCGCACTGCAGTCGAAGCCCCCTCCCCTGGGGACGATATTCAAAGCAAAACGAATTCTCACAGTGCTGAGTCTTCAGAGAGATGCCAGCAGGGGAAAGGTGTCTTCTCAGGCAGTGGAGGACGAGGCTCGGGAGGAGGGGAACAACGGAGGGGGCTCGTGTGGTTTCCTCCCCCAAGTGTTTTGCCCCTACCTGACCCCATCACGGACCACTGGAGGCTGAGCTGACCGCTCGCGGAGCGAGGAGCTGTGATTGGTTCATATTTGTTATTAGGACAGGAGAACGTGCGACGTGGTGACGATGACGGCAGGGGAGGCCGTGGCGTGTGGCCAGGGGCGGGGGTTCGCGGCACACAGACCCAGGCCGCAGTGTGGTTCCGCCTCACCAGAGCCTCGTCAAGCCTCAGTCTACCGATCTGTAGAGTGGGCACGATGCACCTGTGCACAGAGCTGGGGCACAGGAAGCCTAAGTGATTGTGCCGCTGTACAACCGGGCGCTCGAAAAATAACGTCTTATGACCCCAATGTCACCTCAGGTGTCCTCGCCCCCGGCCGGTCCATGGGACCCCTGCGTTGGGTGCGGTGACTCTGAGGCCAGAATCCCGAACGCCAGCTGTGAGACCCTGCGTTTCTTACCGCTTAGTTCCTCAGTTTCCCCACATATAAAACGCGGACAATAACAGCACCTACCTCGCACTGCTGGAGGATTAAACTGATTAACACGAGTAAAGTACTTTGAAACAGTATCTAGCACATATTAAAGCACATTTTTCCCCGTTACTTTGGGAAACCACTATTTCAAAAATCTAAAAAAATTCTGCTTCATAGAAAGACTCTAAATAAGTGAGCTAATAATGTTCTAGAGTTTTTTCCCCTTAAAATTTTAATTTAAAAAAAAAAAAAACTAGGAACCAAAGTATCTGAGCAGTTTTAAAGTTTAAATACCACGCTTTTATCATCAAGAGAACTACAGCTTCCTCAACACTCAGACGTCACCGCGTTTGTCCTGCCTGTCCCAGTAACGGCTGCAGGCCTTCGGGGTCCTGGTTTTTCCAGGGGAGGACCGAGTGTTCCAAATTAAATCGCTCCCCCCGCTCCCCATCCGCTGGGTCCCCACCAGGCCGAGCCATCTCCCCCGGCACACGGCCGCTCGTCATTATCAGGACAGATATTTTCAGGGCAGGAGCCACATTGCTGGGGGCATCACGTTTCCAACCCTCATCTCCAAACTGGGTTTTCCGCCAAAATGGGTACGGTCGGCACGAGGATGCTAAATGGCGACGAAGAACACCCAGCGCCTCTGGCGAAAAACGCACGGACACGTGACTCGCCCGTGTCTCCTGCCAGGAGGTCAGTTAGAGGACGACCCCGCCAAAGCCTCGGGTCCTCATTTTAGGGTGAAACCTCTCGCCGTGGACACTTTTCGGCTCCTGTTGCTGTTTTGGTTACTGCAGCCCTAGAAGCAGAAGAGCCCTGTGAAATGCGATTCAGAAGCGACGCTCTGGGCGGCAAAGTAAAGGGACCACGTCCAAACGCAGACTCCCCCAGAGGACATTTCCACGGTCTGAAGAGGGACAGCCCTTTTGCACACAAGTGTTTTGGTTTCACGCTCAGCTGGAACGTGAGCATTTTCTGGAATTTTAAGGAAAACTCTCAGTGAAGGTCAGTAAACAGAATTAACACCCAGAGAAAGGTGGGGGCGACTAAAAGCGAGCTCCTCTAGAAGCTCAACGCAAGCATATCGATCACCCCTTTTTGTCACCTGGTTTTTCTCACTGGGTGACTCATCCTTAAGATAAAACGGTACTAGGAACGGAGACTCTGGAGCCAGAGTGCTTGA